CATTAAATTCCAGTGAAATATATTTATGTTTGTGGTTGTAATGTGACAAAATATGGAAAAGTTCAAGGGGTATGAATACTTTTGCAAACCACTGTATGTTAGTGGGATTACTGTTCTTGGAAGTTAAACAAAAAAGTCTGTTTTATGGCTTGTAAAGATAAGGGTCAGAGCAGTTGTAATTTATTACTTAAAATAACTTAGTACAATGGAATTATTTACTCAAAGGTTAGAGGCTGTAAATGATCTGAAACACCTGTTATTTTTGTTTAAGTTTTCTTTGTTACACTTGACAAAACATGTTTTCCTGCTAGCATGTAACTCTTTTATAAAGAAGTAATAAATTGCATCACTATCGGTCTTCACTTGCCCTATTTTCCAATTGTCCTATTTAAACTGTGTTGACTTTTCCTCCGCTCAATAGTTTGTGTCTATATTTATGTGAGAAGCCATGAAAGACAGAAGCACTAAGCTGCTTAGGCTGAGTGAGGTCTGTGGTTAGCTGCACACCACCCTGGTTGTGGGCCAGTGATTTATCTGCTCTGTATGTTTTAATGCAGTGCTTTAGTTTCACTCTGTAGACTGAGAATGAACAGATTATAAGCAGTGTGATTGGCAGAATGTTCKTGCAGTTATTAGCCAACATTCTTTACGCATCTATTGGGTAAAATGAATGAAAAACACTGGTTACATAATGTGGTTTCCTCACAAGGTTAATCCACTGCAAAAATCAGTTTTTAAAGGCACATGGGTCCAAACACAAATATGCAGAAGCTAAGAATAGATTTCCAAACACACAGTTGTGTAATGGTCTAAAGCCAGGCAGTGTACTTATGCAAATGAGATCAGTTAACGCCAACTGTTTCAAATTAGATTAGGGGTGTTAGTTTGGATTGTTCACCTTTTAAAATCTAAAACTTTGAAAATAGAAACATGGAAGTAAAATGCACTTTTAACAAAATGCATTTTTTACAGGAAAAAAATAACTTAATTATTCTTAAAACGTTCATCACAACATTATCAAGTGTTTGACATGCATGCAAATAATCCCTGAAAGGAAATACTTAAATACATGTGATCATAAAAAAAATTTAATTAAATACAAGTTAAACCGTACGTAATCTTTTAAACAAACAACTAATGAACAAATAACTCAAAACTGCAGCCTCTCGACCCAGCATGAGGGGCTGTGAACCTGCCCTGCAGGGCGCAGATGTAGTTTTGCAAGTCCAAAATAAACAAAAGAATAACTTTGGTTAAAGTAACATTCAAGTGCATAAAAGTAAAAAAAAGTCCATCCTGTTTGAAATCTTTCTGGATCTCGCAGTCCAAAAGTTCAAAAAACACTTTAACGCTAAAAAACCAAGGAGAAGATGAGACCAGATTGATTATTACTATAATTCAGTGATTTAATATGATGACACTTAACACTTTAGATAACTGATTGCTCAGCTTCAAAGACACACTGTTTTCTGATAAGCAAACTAACAAAACTTTTAGACAGTTAACAGCACAAAATGGTCAGTCACTAAAAATAAGGTTTATGAGGCATCAACCTGACGAACAAGTAGTGTTGCCAACTCAGCGACTTTGTCACTAGATCTAGCGACTTTTCAGACCCCTCTTGCGACTTTTTTTTCCCAAAAAGCGACTAGCGACAAATCTAGCGACTTTTCCTGGTGTTTTTAGAGACTTTTAGGAGCTTTGGTGACAACATTTTCCAAGCACTTTTTTCCTTTCCTCCGCAAGCGGCGCAGTGAGCCCCTCCCACTTGCCGTCCGACTCACTGAAGCCTTGCGGCACCCCCAAACCCTACCCCCATCCTCGGCTGAAGTCAGCTGAGAAGAGACCGCTGAAAATGAATCACGCATGCGCAAAGCTTCCACTGCTTCTGTCTGGTTTACAGAATCTGCATTTTACTTTCTTTGATATATTTTCAGTAAAATTTTGCCAACTTTTCTTTTAGTCTCTTTAATGCAGGGATCGTCAGTTCTGGTCCTCGAATTCGGCAGTCCTGCACGTTTTACTTGTTTCTCTGCTCCACCATACCTGATTTGAATGAATGGGTGATTTTCATGCTTCTGTAGAACTTGGAAGAGGTAATTTACTGACTAAATCAGGTATGTTGGAGAAGAGAAACAAGTATATCATGTAGGGCTGCGGACCCCGAGGACCAGGATTGGCTACCCCTGCTTTAGGGCCCTACAAAATCCATTTTATTTTTTCCCAAATTCCATTTTTTCCATTTTAATTTTTCCAAATTCCACTTTTTACATTTTTTCCCCTGAATTCCACATTTTCATTCAAATCATACTTATTAACATCAAAAGGGTTTGATTATAAAGTGATTGAAAAATAATTTTACAAATGAATAGTCACAGAATTTAAAATTTAATGACTGTTATGCCACTTTCACAAATATAAAAAAAAATTGCTTTGGTTCAGCAGAACATTAAATGCTTTTTCAAGGTTAACAAAAGATGTTTGTCTATTTTAAAAGAACAAAAGACTTTCTGTGCAAAAACATAGCAGCTCACATTAACAAATACATGTTGTATATTTTTGTAAACAAATAAAAAAGTGCTTCAGCATTGGACTCATGTATCTTAAACAAAAATACTTTAAATCTGAACAATTCCTTCACAAATGCCTACTGAACAGGATCTTATC